ACTGTTCCTTAAGTCTGAACTTAGCGATTCTCTCGTGAACATGTGGGTAGCGTCCATATTTTACTGATTGTTCATTTATGACACAAAGCTGCTTCAGGAAAGGGTTAAATAAAGGCCGCCCAGAAAAGGGGCGGAGTGTGAATATTTTCTGGAGTCACTGCTCTCACAGATGAACCCACCCTGTGCTGTCTGAACCTCCAGGCGGGTACTACCCAGTGAAGATTGGTGACCTGTTCAACGGCCGGTACCATGTGGTTCGGAAACTGGGCTGGGGACACTTCTCCACGGTTTGGCTCTGCTGGGACCTGCAGTAAGTAATCCTCTCTGATTGAAAGGTGTGTTACCAAAGCTGGACTGGTTTCAGACTGGGATCCTGTTTCCTTCAGGAAGAAGCGCTTCGTGGCCATGAAGGTGGTGAAGAGTGCTCCTCATTATACCGAGACGGCTCTGGATGAAATCAAACTGCTCCGATGTGTGAGTATCCCGTGTCCTGACCTCTGCCCCCTACAGCTCCAGGTGTGCTCAGGTAACCCGTCTTTCTCCAGGTGAGGGACAGCGACCCCTCCGACCCCTACAGAGAAACCATCGTCCAGCTTATCGATGACTTCAAGATCTCTGGGATCAATGGAGTTCGTATCCTTGGCTATGCGCTGTCCTCCCCCCCTCCCGTAGGTCTACCTGTCTCGGTATCTTCCTCAGCCTCTCCCAGATGTCTGCATGGTTCTGGAGGTTTTGGGTCATCAGCTTTTGAAATGGATCATTAAGTCCAACTATATGGGACTTCCTCTGGTCTGTGTCAAGACCATCATTCGACAGGTAACAGCCCAGATATGCTGCAGCTTAGACTCTTTATCTGCAACACATTTCAGCTGCTGACACTTAAGCGGAGATTAAAAAGTCGCATGTAACTTGTGTGTTCAGGCCTTTACTGACTTGTTTGGCTCCAAGTTGTTGATCTTTGGGTCGGATCCGGACTTGTTGACCAAATGGGTCTAGTCAGCGTAACTTAACGGTTCTTCAATAATAAAGACTAGAGTCAAATCTTCGTCGTTACGCTAATCAGTTATTCCATTGAATGGTATCGAGTCTTTTTTCGAGTCAGTTGGTTCTGATCCGTTGTCGGTTTGTGGGCCTCCAGGTGCTGCAGGGACTCGACTACCTTCACACCAAGTGTAAGATCATCCACACCGACATCAAGCCGGAGAACATCCTGCTGGTCGTTGACGACGTTTACATCAGAAGGTTAGCGGCCGAAGCCACCGTCTGGCAGAGAGCTGGAGCCCCGCCCCCTTCAGGCTCATCAGGTGATTGGTCAACGTGGTGCCGGACGCGTGTAAATACCAGAACCCTTCTGCGCTTCCCGCTGTCACTGGGACCTCTGGTCTCTGCTTACTGGGAGCTGTGGTTTCCAGGCTTTTCTTCGTCTGCTTTTTTCTAACTGAGCTGTTTCTTCTTTCTGTTTCCACCTTTTCTTCCTGTTTTCCTTCCATCCGTGTGTCTCTAGTTAGCACGGCCCCCAGGGATGAAGAGGTGAGTGCCTAGGTGTCTTCTTTCCTCTGTTCTGATTGGCTGTTTCTCAAACCAGGAAAGTCGTCATCGTTTTCCATCGCGGTCAGATTTTACTGCATGTCACCAGAAAGGAAATGTAACAAAGTGGGCGTGGCCAGCATGACATCACACACGGCTTGGGCCCTGTCCCAATAACTGCACTCTTGAAGTCTGTTTTCCCACTGATGGATTCCAGTGTGTCCAAATGCTGTCTGTAGCCCCGCCCCCTGATCCACACCTCCACATGCATCTAAGTGGACTTTGGGGAATTACCCACAATCCATTGCTGCATCTGAAGTTTTAATCAGGTGAACAGTGGTGCTGATGGAGCTTCAGTGGGCTGGAATGTAAATCTCTCAGCGCTAATGGATCCAATAGCCCTCAGAAATATTAACTCCACACTGGGAAAAAAAAAAAGGAAATCTAAACAAGTAATTTTTTCTTAAAAGAAGTGATTTGTTCTTAAATTGAGGTCAGTGAGACACTTTGCCAATTGAACAAAACAATTTAATAACTATTTAAATAAGGAAATTTTATTTAATTGTCTTATTTCAAGTGCATTTTATCCAATTATCCTATTTTAAGAGTAAAAATACTCGTTCCATTGGAAGAACATCTTATTTACCTCCTTAGATTAAAGGTAAATACAGTTAATTTAAGAAATGACTTATTTCTTTATGGTTTTTTCAGTTCACATGTTTCTGTGTTATTGACCTACAGGGTGAACATTTACAACAAAGGTCCATATTCTGTCAAGTTTGTTTTTTGTTTTTTTTGCATGGAATAAATTTAGCTAAACATTTATTAGATTAGATTAAAAAATCCCTTTATTGTCCCACAATGAGGAAATTCTGGTTTTTACAGCAGCAAAAAAATGATAGAAAAAATGGTCACACAAATGTGGAGCTTAGAAAAATGTATAGGAATAACATCATAGTGAAGAGTTAAAATATAAACAATAAAATACTGTAAAGTGTTTTAACAATATAAATACTGATAGACACATAGAGAATAAATAACCAATATGCAGCTATGGACATTTTTACAGTAATGGATATTTGAAAATAGCAGCAACATCAGAGACGTGCTGAATGACAGCAGCAGGTTATTTAACTGACTAAGGTAGAAACTGAGCAGAATCAGCAGGAATGGAAGAACTGGTTGAGGTTGTTGGGAACACTGGTGGTTCTAGCGTCTTCCAGCTGCTGGGAGGGAGGATCTGTGATAACGCTCCCTGGTGCATTTAGGGTGCAGCAGTCTGTCACTGAAGGAGCTGTCCAGTTCAGCACCAGCTGAACCAGCAGATAACTGTTGAATGTTACGTAAAACTAAAGTAGATCGTTTGGAATAGAGCTGTTATTATTCCGATCTCCCTCTTCTAAAGTATTCTGGTCTCGTTTAAGTGATTATCGCTCCAAATGGATCATGCTGAACTTTTGAATAGGTGCATTTAGTCTGCAATAATAATCTACAGACATATATGATTTGTCCCTTTTAATGGGAAGATGTCGTATTTATTCCAGTAAATGTTGAAACGTTGGTTTAACTGCTTTCTAAATGGTTTACATGTTAAACTAAATATATAACACGGCTATCAGCAAAGTTATACCGTTTTTTTACATTCAGCGCCAGACGTGACGTGACTCCACCCACCTTTTAGCTACAGACTTAACCCCGCCCCCAAACACCACGCCTTTTGAGGCAGGAAGTCATTAACAGTTTTTTTTGTGTGAAACTAAACCAGTCGGATCCAGTTCTGGTCGTCCCCCCTGCCTCTGCTCACCCCCCCGATGTGTCTGTGTGTGTAGATGGGGAAGTTGTCTAAAAACAAGAAGAAGAAGCTGAAGCGGAAGGCAAAGCGCCAACAGAAGCTCTTAGATGAAAGGCTCATGGATATCCAGGTACATCGGTCTTTCTACACACACTGCATACTTCCAGTAGTACTACACGGATATATGCATACTACTGATGTACGCAGCAGCTGGTCACAACATGACGGCTTTGCTTTGTTTTATTATTTCAGAGGATGGATGAAGAGGAGGGTCTCCACCAGGCTGACGACGCAGAACCGACCTGTGAGTAGAAACTCCTCCTGATGGACGAGTCCAGTTTCCTGTTTTATGGTGGAGCAGCGTGAACTTCTAAAAGATGGAGAATCCATATATTGGCATCGTTAGCGTTGTTGCTTCCCGATCCGTAGCATCAGCCCATGTGGAGACAGACATTCATCCAGATGGTCATAATATCTGCGAAAATCTCACTGCGACACACAGGAGGATAACCAGAGCTTTTAGTCCTCGACGCAAGCAAACCGGGTTCAAATCCTGTGGTTCTTTGACGCATGTCATACCCGCATTCCTGCCAGCCTACTGTCTGAAAAATGAGTCACTAGTGCCGTAAAAACTCAAAAAATAAAAATAAAAACATCCATGTTTTCTTCTTCTGTGGTTTTAACTTTGCATATTGTTTCCTCATTCTCAGCTTCTGTTATCAACTGTAACATTTCCTGTTCCACAGCCAATCACAAAGCCAGCCCTGAATCCAGCGGCTCCTGGTTGGACGACAGGTCTGCTGGCCACGCCCCCGGGCGCTTCTCCAGCCCTGCCTCTGGTTTATCAGGGTTCTCCAGCTCAGTGATGTCAGCAACGTCAGAGTCCGCCCTCTCCACCCAGTCGGGATACTCCAGCGGTGGTGAGTAAAGCAAACGCTAGCTCCTCTAATGGATGTCATTAGACGACGGAAACACGCATAGATGCTGCCTGTTATATTAGGACTGCAGACAAACAGAAGAAAAGAACAAGGAAGGCAGTAAATGTTTGAAGCATTTCATTATAGAACCCGAAACATTTGAACATTAGCATGTGGGACACGAACATGTAGAGAAATAATGTGCTTTAAAATCTGGGAGGCGGGCTGTGCCTAATAGTGCTGATGTCCATGATTGTGGGAATCGTTATCAGATCGGGACAATCTGTGACGGGAACATCAGAAGCTCGCTGTTAAGGAAACTATCAATAAAGGATTTGGCTGGGCGCGGGAGGAGGCCGCGTCGCCTGGGCGCGGGAGGAGGCGTCGCCGCCTGGGTGGAACCGCCTGGGAGGCGTCGCTGCCTGGGCGTGGGAGGCGTCTTCGTCGCCTGGCCTCGGGAGGCGGTGTCGTCTGGGTGTAACCTCTGTCAGAGGTGTGATTAGTCTTTGATAAACCTCTCAGGCAGACATGATGCTAACAGACGTTAGCGTGGGCTGACAGCTGATTGGCTGAGGTTGGACCGATGGCTTTGAAGTTCTTTTGCTTGCAGGATTCAGCTCCTCAGACTTTGTGCTGAACCCTCTGGATCCTCGAAACGCCGACCGGCTCCAGGTGAAGATCGCTGATCTGGGAAATGCCTGCTGGGTGGTGAGCATCTTCCTCCTCTCCTCTTCCTCCTTCACAGCTCACCTTCAGCTCTGACCAATCAGATGTCTTCCTCTCCGTGTTTTTCTCTACCAGCACAAACACTTCACAGAGGACATCCAGACTCGGCAGTACCGAGCTCTGGAGGTCCTGATCGGAGCGGAGTACGGACCGCCGGCGGACATCTGGAGCACAGCCTGCATGGTAAACACACAAACACAGCAGAACCCTGATCCGGAACATGCTGAGCAGAACTGGACCTGAGAGGCCAGAAGAACTCAGCTGGAGCATCCTGACAGGTTCAGCAGATGATCTGTGGGCTCTTTCTCCTCAGGCGTTTGAGCTGGCCACCGGAGACTACCTGTTCGAGCCGCATTCAGGCGAGGACTACACCAGAGACGAAGGTAACCGTCAGAACTGGGCCCGGTTCTGCAGACCCAGCTTTCCTCCACACGTCACGGATGAACCTTTGTCTGCTTCCAGATCACATCGCCCACATCATCGAGCTGTTGGGGCCCATGCCTTTGCCCTTCGCTCTGTCTGGCAGGTATTCCAGAGAATACTTCAACAGGAGAGGTGAGACGCCGTCCCGCCTGTTCAGGTAGAGTCGGTACCTTCCGGTTCCTGACCCGCTGTGTTTCCAGGTGAGCTGCGTCACATCTCCAACCTGAAGCCGTGGGGTCTGTTCGAGGTCCTGCTGGAGAAGTACGAGTGGCCGCTGGACCAGGCGGCGCAGTTCAGTGACTTCCTGCTTACCATGCTGGAAATGGAGCCTGACCGCCGAGCGACGGCGGCGGAGTGCCTGCAGCACGCCTGGCTGCACACATGAACCCTCACTGTGACTCATTGACTGATGGTTGGAGATGCCTCAGCTGATTGGTCAGCCGACAGACCGATCAGAGCGCCGGATCCACCCAGACACACCGGAGAGGAGCCGCCGCCTGTCCCGCCTGAGCTGGGCTCCATTTGCTCAGAGACGACGGGCTGAGCTTCCTTCCTCTGGCAGCTGAAACCCTCAGAACCAGAATCTTCCTCTGCTGTCGCCCTGAGCTGACACGGCTTCAGGAATCCCTTTCCTGCGTGTGATCACTTCCTGTTCCTCTATAACGTCTGATTAGTCCATGATCGACCCGATTCATGAAGCCGCTCAGCTGATCGATCACCAAACCGTCCGTTATTGGCGGGTCGGTCGGCTGATCGATCAGCAAACCATCCGTTATTGGCGGGTCGGTCAGCTGATCGATCAGCAAACCGTCCGTTATTGGCGGGTCGGTCAGCTGATCGATCACCAAACCGTCCGTTATTGGCGGGTCGGTCAGCTGATCGATCAGCCAATCTGCGGCGCCGTTTCATTTTGCTGAAGTTCTAGTTTTCATGGTCGGACTCCCTGATGTTGAGCTTCCACTTGTTTACCTGTTCTGATGACATTAGTGCCTTGAAAAAGCCCCGCCCCCTGAGCCGCAGTGACATCACTGATGATGTCAGGAGGATTCTTCTTTTCTATGTGTGTTTGTGTGAAAGCAAAGATGGATGTCGATCCTGGGTTTACTGGGAATGAAACGGAACGGTTTGTGACGACGTGGAGAGTTAAACCGACCAGATCCAACCAATCGATCACAGAAGACGCTATGATGCTGGATCTGCGTCCAACATTTGGACCGCAGCTAGACACGCCCATATATGGACATCCTACTGAAGGTAGTGTGAGCTAGTTTGGCCTTTTTTGAATAAACGGCAAACAGACCAGAAGCACAATAAAAAGTGAATTTAAAACAGTGAGTGATGGGAAGCATGTTGCTCTGAAGACACAACAGTTTCTGGGCTTTAGGACTTTTTATAAGTTTTCAAGATTTCAGATGCAAACAGAAATGATTTTAAAAAGAATGAAATTAGAGGAACTTTGAGTGTTTTTGTTCCTGAGAATAAAAAATGGAGTGGATTTAAAATAAAAGGCACTCTTTAGAGACATCAGTGATGGTGGAAATCTATCGATTAGTCATGTCTGCAGCCCCGATTAACATGTTTGGTTGATTATTTTCACAGGATATGGGGGGGGGAGTTGTCTCCATCATGTCGTCTCACTGAAGGTTCAGACGTTTCTGTAACTTGAAGCTAAATAAACACTTGGATCTTAGTTAAAGGTTAAATCTTTATCATGTTTATTCCAGAGGTTTTTATTTTGTCTTCCAGAACCAAACAGTTTAACACTTCCTAAACTTTACATGTGGGGGTTTGTTCAGGTTTGGCCCCTGAGGGCCGCTGTCCTGCAGGTTTTCAATACATCGGATGATGCAATAAAAGGCTGTTAACCTCTAAAACATTCTGGACCGCGGCCCTCAGGGGCCGACTCTGGACTTCCTCTTTTAGAGCAGCTCTATGATTATATTCAGAAAACTAAATTCTCAGGGAAGAGCTTTAAAGGCTCACTGTGGACCTAAAGAGCCAATATACTGAGCTTGACTCTATCGATGCTACCAGCAGGGATCCCCTCTTCAAATACAGACTATGTTAGTTGGGACAAGACGCGCAGTCATTGGCCAGGTCATGTGACCTGGAAAAACTGATCACTTTATGGCCACAGGCTCTCATAGGATGTTTCTCAATTCACAAGAACGTGAGTACGGACTTGTGACATCACCACATTCAGAGCTGGTCTGGAGCTGCATTTCGCCTCCTGTTATTAATAGTCACATTATTTTCATTTAGTGGAGGAATAATAATGAACACAGTCAGATAAACACAAATCTAATGAACATTTTACTAAAAACAAAAACCTCCATCAGAGCCAGTGGTCCTTCACACATGGCTATGCAGAGAGAGAGCTGCTATAGACGGGCAAACGTTAGCCCGGACCGCTGCAGACGGGCTAACGTTAGCCCGGGCCGCTGAAGACGGGCAAACGTTAGCCCGGGCCGCTGAAGA